CGCAGGACGCGGCGGCGGGAGCCGCGCTGCGCTGCGGCAGCACCGAGTCCCTGAGGCTGCCGGAGGGCGCCTCGCCGCCCGCCAAGCCCGCAGCGCGGGGCCCCGCCAAGGCGGGCGCCCGCCCGCCCGACGCCGACCCGCTCCTGCACCAGCTGCGCCCCATGCTCAGCTCCGTCTTCGGGCAGGTAAGAGCCGGGAGCCTCCGCCGGGGCAGGAGCCTCCGCCGGGGCAGGAGCCCCCGCGGCTCCGGGAGCCGCCCCCGGGACGAGCAGCCTCCCCCGGGGATGGAGCCCGGGCTCGTCCGCGCTGCCGGCCCCGCAGCGGCTGAGAGCCGGAGAAGCGAAATTCGGTGCTTGCGTTTATTTATTTATTTCAGTCCCTATGTACTTATTAGATGCCGTCTCCCTGGCTCCCCGCCGTGCTTTGCTGTATTTGTTTACATCTCCTTATGGTCCATTTCTGTACGATCAGCAGATGAATCATTTCTGATGGCAGAAGCTGTCAGGGGAAGGCAGTGGGGAGGATGGCAAAAAAAAAAAAAAAAAAAAAAAAAAAAATCCTGACCCAGTTCGGAAGCCTCCCCAGTCACTGTGTTGGGATGGAACAGATGCTTTCGGGGCTTGCAAGCGCTTTGGGTACAAAGCTGCTGTTTGTAGCTGCTTCTGGTAGTGAAATTACCCGACAGGGCTACCCTTTGAAAATGAAAAGGCAGAGGGAAAACTGGCTTAAAATTTTCTTTTTAGAGCCATTTAGGGTTGTTCCTGGGAAATGTAATCTCCAGGAAGATTAATGTAACTGCAGTCTCTCAGCAGCACAATTATAGGTATAAGCCGGCAGCCCCGAGGGCTGAGTTCCAGCCCTGGGAGTGATCGATTAAACCAGAATTGTGATTTGGGAGTTTTGTTGTTGGGTTGTGGTTTTTAAGCTGGTTTGGGAGATTTGCAGAGGGCCTGTTCGAATTAAAACTACGGGGAGAGTCCTTGTACTTGGGGAGGAAGGACGTGATGCTCCTGTGTCTTGCTTAGTTTGGTCTCAAAGTGGCGGCTGCCTCTGCTCATGCCGGCCTCTCCAGTGAGGCTCAAACCTCATCCATTCTCGGCAGTTTTGCATCCTCACTGACAGTCTGTCGATTTGTGAACGTTACTCTTGTGTTTAATACGGAACTAACATTACCCCCTCTGCGGCAGCAGTTTACCAGAAGCCTAGATTAAAATGTAGTTGCAATGAAGCAGGCCCTGGCCATCAGCTAGCTGCTTAATTTGGGCAGCAAAAGGCAGTATTTCAGCACCGGCCGCTGAAATCCCTGGGCTCAGCTCTGCCTCGGGCTGAGCTCTGCCAAAAGCGAGATGCGTCTAAGGGGAAGGTTTCAGTCTACAGCCCCCGGTGTCCCCCACAATGTTAGAAGTGTGAGCAAGTCCCTGACAGGGCATTGCTCTTCCACCTCCTTTGCTGCTTGCGTTGCACAGTCGTGAGACACTTGTGAATGCCACAAACTTAACGAAATGAAATTGTGGGGTCGGACGCGGCTGCTTGCGCACTCCCCTCCTTCCTACGAGCACCATCTTCCTTCCCCAGCGTGATGCTCTTTCTTCCCATTTCCCTCTGTATTCATCCGTCACCTGCTTTCTTTGGACTAACTGTGAGCAAACGACCATCTAGTGGTGGTTTTAGGACTGGCTTTTAGGAGCGGGTTGTGGTAGAGCTGTTCTGTGCGTGCCAGAGCGTGGGGAGCCACGAGCTGGGATGCAGAGGGAGTTGCTCCCAGGAGGACAGATGTGAAGATGGTCTTTGTGGCGACATCAAAAGCCGGGGATGCCTGAAGGCCCAAGGGTAAGAACAGTGGAGATCTGGTCACAGGAAGAGATGGCGGTGAGTCTGTTTTGGTGAGTGAAGGAGTGAATGCAAAGTGCAGTGTTTTAGATGGGCAGGAGTTTGGAGCGGAGGGAAGCCGAGCTGAGCCTGGGACCGGCCTTGGCCGCGGGGCTGTCACGTCCAGGTGGCCGGTGCTGTGACACTGCTCCACGCCGTAAGAAGAGAGCAACAGCTCAATCAATCTTGGATTAAATCAACCTGTTTAATCCAAGACCTCCTCCCCGTCCCTGCAGCCCCCAGCGAAGCGGCGCATTTGCGGCGCACTGGGGAGGGCAGCGCGGCGCCGCGAGGCTGCAGCAGCCGCCGCGTGCGGGGTGTCTGACCGCCGCAGGGCACACACGAGACATCCCCAGCGGTGCAGGGACACGGCCGTGCTTGCTGAGCGCTGTAGCAGTGCCGCTGGATAGGCAGGCGGGATTGCAGGGATCCCCGGAGCATCGTTCCCGGGGCAGGAATTGCTGCAGCAGCGGCAGAAAGCAGCAGCCCGGGGCTCCAGGGCTGTGTCTTGCGCTGGTCTGCAGCCGTGCCGGGGCACGCGCGGAGCAGAGGCAGAAGTGCAGGGTTTATGTAACGAGCACGCGGTGGGTGTGCGCTCTGGGGCAATGCTAAGGCTCGGCGCTGCCGGGACACGGTATGCAATAATATCTTATTAATTAGGCTCATGCTACCCTGATGCAGTGATGCTTCAGCATAACAGAGCAATAATACTCTTTGAAGGCATTTTGCCATTTTGTAATTGAGCACTAGGTGAATTAACGAATGTAGGAGAGCATAGCGGTGTATTAGTGTAAGCCAGGCTCTCCTCTTAGCCTCATGCCACATTCCCACACTGGAGCAGTGCGTGGCTGCGGAGTTCGTGCCGGGCGAGCGCTCGGCATGGCCGGCTAGTGCGGAGCCCACAGCGCGGTCCTGTGGCGGAGCCGAGACCGATCCTGGTCCTGTGCGGTGGCTGTTTGGCAGGACACGGGCGTGAGAGCAGCCTAGGGCTGTAGCCTGACCGCAGGTCAGTGGTTTAGTGCAGTGCGGAGGGGAGCTTTCAGCCCCGCTGCTGGCGGGGCATGAGCAGGGGCTGGAGGAGCTGCTGGAGTGTCCCCAGTGCGCAGGGACACGCGTGGGGACAAGCAGCATCGCGGTGGGCTGGCTGTACGGCGCCCGCGAGCGGGGCAGCCGTCCTGGACACTGCAGCAGTGGTAGCTCAGGCGAGAGGGCAGCGGCTGCTGGCAGGGCGCGCACGTGAGGCGTGAGGAAAAGTGGCCAAAAAGGGAGGCGCGCAGGTATAGGGAGGTATATAGCACTGGGTGGGTCTATAGGGAGGTGCATGTGGTTTGAAGCAGAGCAGCGGCAAAGGTGGGCAGCGGAGCAGAAGGAGCCACAGAGCAGGATGCAGCGGCGCGCGGAGCCGTAGCCCGTCAGCGAGGACGGAGGAGCGGCGGCCGCGAGAGCGGGGAGGCGGCAGCCGGGCAGCAGCACCGGGTTGGTGACGTGCCAGCAGCGCCGGCGGCGGCAGCGCGGAGGCCGCGGCGCTGGCGGGAGGCGGCGGGGACAGCGGCCAAGAGCGGCCGTGACGGAGCCGCTCCGGGCAGCGGGAGTCGGGATGCAGCGGGATCCCGAGCACGGCAGCTCTGCAGCTGGGCTGCACAGGGCTGCACTTTGCCGCATCCTCCCGCTGCCTTTGCGTCAGCCGCGGGCTCGGCCCAAGCTGGCACCTTTCGGTCGAGGAGCTTTTTCTGGCCTTTGCGATGCAATATTAATTTGCAAGCGATCCCGCCATGTGAGCCATGACCGTTTGCAGGGCCGTTTAGCTTTCACACCCTGCCTGACTGTTAAATTTTTTAAGTGAAGTGATTCCCCGACAGCTTTCTGTCAATTGCCTCCAGGAGCATGGGGTTCATAGGGGTCAAACAATGCCACAGGGAATCATTAAATATTTACGGGCTTCTGCTGTTAGTGCAGTGGCCGAAGGGGCTTTTGTGTTCCTATTTGTACAGGCAGTTAAAAGCCTCTCCTGTCTGCACCTTCTCCCATTCTCCTCCTTGTCTTGGTGTTCAAATTGCTGTTGAACTGGAGGATGATTTCTCCTGCATTTTCTGATTTTCCTTTCCTCCTTTTGCTTGTTCTTCCTTTAATTATTCTTGGGCTTTAGTTAAGGTTAACAAGTCCCGGTGGGTCTTGGCGCAAACTGGAGTGACAGAGCCGTCCGTGTTTTGAGGTTATGCGTGCCCTGTGGCTGTATTTGTGAGCAGTGAGTGGATGGAGAACTTCTCCATCCAAACCAGATAGGAGGGGGCACGGAAAAATTGTGTTTTCCACCCTCTCCGAGGGAGGCCGGGCGCCCTCGCCACTCTCCTCCCAGCACGAGACTCCCTGGCTCCGGCATCGCCTCCGCTTGCACTCACAGAACCACAGAACCACAGAACCACAGTGGTTGAGGTTGGAACAGACCTCTAGAGATGATCTAGTCCAACCTTCCTGCTCAAGCAGGGACACCAGAGCACGGGACCCTAGGTGTTAAGGACGCCCTGGGTGTCAAGGCTCTTGGAGCAGCAGTTGTGCCCAAGCACGGTCACTGCCGGAGGACCTCGGCATGGAGGGAGCTTCCGAAGGGCCGGCAGCTCCGTGCGGCCTTGCCCGGGGCCCCTGGCCATGGCTCCGTCACGGCAGCCTGTGGTCGCGCTGCGTGTTGGGCTGTGCCGGGGCAGCGGCGGCTGGTGGGCGCGGGGCGGCGGGTGGCGAAGGCGACGCGTCGCCGCCGGTGCCGCGCAGAGCCAGAGGACGCGGGGCAGCCGCGGGGCAGCGCCGTGGGGAACCGAGGGCGCTTCCCGCCTGCCACGCAGGGTCAAGCCCTCCGAGGGACGACGCACTTCGGGGTGCGGGGGGCTCCCCTGTGACTCAAGATGCCCGCACACCACCGGGACGTCCCCCCGCGCAGGGATGTCCCCCCACGCAGGGATGTCCCCTGCCCCTCGCCCGCTGCCCTGCGCTGGAGCTGCGCCGCGGGAGCCGAGCGCGGCGCCTCTCCCAGCGCCTCCTCGCGCCGGGTCCCGCACCTCGAGCGCTCCCCGCCACCAGGACAGCGCCGGGGGCCCCTCTGTGTCCCCCCGCACCGACGTTGGCACGAACGGCGGCAACGGTGCCGCGCTGCGCGTCGCCACGGCGCCCCCTGCTGCGGGCGGGCGGCCCCGCGGCCCCCGGTCCCGTTCCCCGCGTCCCGTCCCGTCCCGCTGCCGCCGCGTCCCCCCGCGCTGCCGCCGGCCGGGGGGGCTCCCGGGGGCGCTTCCCGCAGGACGGAGCCCGAGCGAACGGCAGCTCCCGC